AATTCATATGAATTACTCTTTATCATATATAAACTTACACAAAATACTCCAGGCGAATAGAAGTTAAATTAAAAAAAAATTAAATGCTGTATTTCTAAAAAAAATATATAAATGTGGAACTAAGAAATGGTGCAGGGACTCCGTTTCCCCATCCTCTTCAAAGCCAATACTTTGTACAGCCAGCTTTTGCAGCAAATACAGCAGAAGGKTTTTTTTAATCTAATTTTTAACCCTAACCACCATGCTTTGCTGTGGGGATGATCACGTCCAATCACATCATGATGTGAGGCATTACCTTTTAACCAGACAGGATAATGTCCTTGATCACCAAAAAGTTCCATTTTTTTTGTCTCATTTGACCACAGAACTTTCTTACACAYATCTGATGTGGGATTTCCTTTTGGCAAATCTAGACTCTTTGGTCTTCATGCTGTCTCTTGTTTGGTGGCACCTATTGCTACTTAGTTGTGTTTCAATTGTGCTGATTCTTGGAGCCATATACTGTAAATGCTGAARTCATTTGACACTTAGGTTGCCCACTGGTTGATCTTATTTAACTAATAATTACATGGCTTTTGTAGGTAATAGCTGAATATAGATTTTTTTATTATGTTATTTTCTTAGTTCAACTTCATTATTCTGGAGTATTTAGTTTATTCCAGTATATCATAGTTAAATCCAAACTTCTGTTAAATTCTAAGCTATAAGGCAACAAAATAGAAATAATACCAAGAAGGTAAATACTGTTGCAGACCACTGTATAAAACCTTAGACTTATAGATATAGAAGAACCCAAGAGCTTACCAGCTTCTACTTATTGACCCGACTCCACAGATGGTGACCTCACCTGTGCTTCTTTTTGATGTCAGTAAAGATCTGCACATTATCWGCTCCAACCTGCCTGCGATACCTCAGCAAATCACCAGCGCAGGCGTTCAGGAGCCCCTCGTCTGCCACGTGAGAAAAGACGAAACCCTCTGCTCTGATGAAGTCCAGACCTGGAACAGTAAAGTTACGTTATAGTGAGGTGGTTGAACAAGCAGATGGATACTGACCTGACCAACCAGCAGTTCTTTACTAAAGATCAAACATATATCAGTGGACAAGAATTTGCTCTTGAAGCGATTGCTTGATAAATCAGTTTCCACATGATGACGTGATTTTATTGAATCGAACTGATGATTGTTTGAACCTGAAGCCAGAGCTACAGCCAGAGCCTGCTGGTTAGCAGAAGACAGTATCTGCACTCCGAGCGGCAGGGTTGGGCAGACTCTTCTCACAGCCGAGCAGACCGCTGTCATACAGGCGCACACCTCAGGRCCCACGGAAAACGAATAAGGGACATCGTGCATGTTTTCAACAATCAAACCATCCTGAAAGAGGGGTCACAACTCATGGTTACACACATGGCTGGGATGATTTCAGACATGCTCATGTGCCGTATTAGCCACTTACGATCCCAGCATCAAGGTRGATCTCTGCTTCCCGACACGCTTCATCAGTGATTTGAGAGATTTTCAAACAACCCAGAGGAGTACCTGAGATAGGCAGAAACTAAAATCACTGATTCCAACTATAAAGTTAGCTGAGATCATTACAAAATAAGTGCAGACTTTTACATCACTCTTGTGTAATAACTACAGTATCATTTATCTATTACTCTTATTTATCTATTTTTTTTGTCCAACACTTAAAATATATGTGTCAGGGACAGGGTGCAACATAAACTATATGAGAGAAATTACACWTTTTAAATTGTTATCCTAATTTTAAAGGTAAAAAAACAGTTTTCTTATTTATATTTTTTTAATAAGAGAGAAAGCATGGCTCATTCAGTTGTAAAGGTTGCAAACCACAGATCTATAGCCTAACCTCAACAAAATGTTCAACAGTGAAGTCACTTGTAAAAAAAATGACCAAAGACAACCCCTTACATTTAAACAYCAAAGGACAAAGATCACAACCATCTCGCTACCTGGTAAAGCTTTGACGTGAATCATGCCGATAACGACAGATTTAAGGCGTCCAAAAAGGTTCAAAAACTTCATTGTCTTGAAGGTTGTAGGAGCGTGAAAACCGCAGAGGAACGAATATTTTCCTTCCGTTCTGCGAGACGGATCACGTGACTGAACAAAGGTCTATCTAACAAAATTTTAACTAAAACGTCCATAAATACGAACTGACAGCACTTACCCCTTTATGTTTACTTACTGGGGGCATTACGGTGTGCAAYAAGTTTGTTTCTGGTGAGCGCGGTGCTGGAGCGAACCGACAGAGGTAAAAACTGCAGCCCGCGCTGGAAACGACGAGCATCCGCCGGCTAGCATATTGTAGTTTCAGAAAAACCACAGAATGTTCCCGGCATGACAGCGACTGACAGCCGTAAGTGGGGTTCGTGGAACATAAAAGCTCATCAATCTTAGATTATTTTACATCGCACGACGTTTAAACATGTTTACTCTGACAGATCGGGCCTTTGTTTACATCTGGCAGACGAGCCACGCGGTTCCCGGCCGCTTCCGGTGTCGAAGCCCCGCCCCTGCAGCTGTCACCGCCGCTGTCCGTCACGCCTCCCTTTCACCGGCTAAAACTTACTATTTTCTCGAGTTGAGCGAAACTTTGAGCGGGCGTTCTCGAACACAAATGAGCCGCGTGTCTTGAAAATTCGCCCGACTGATACGAGAGCAGCTGAAATGACGGCGTAAAGGAGGCGTCGAGGATGGAGGTTTAGCGCCAATTTAAAGCAACTCCTCCCCGGCCGACGTCGCCGCTCCGTTTCATCTGTCCTGTACAAGGCGCCAGCTCGGAAGAGCCAGCCCCGGCCTAGGCAAACAAAGCACCCCCCGAGTCCGAGGAGCTCAGAGCAACACATCCACACTTTATTATTTTACACGCGGAAACGAGTGAACTTCAAGGGCAGGGTTCTTGAGGTGAGTTACTGACTCTAAAGTCTCCCTCTACAACCAGTTCGGGTCGAGTTGAACCAGTTTCAGACGCACAGCTTTAGCTAAGCTGACAGACTGCTAATCAAAGCGCAACAAGTTGGACAAGAGGAGTTAGAGTGAGTTCTGCGTGTCATTTATTAGCTGCCTGCTCTGTRTTATTCCTTTAATGCGATAAACTGGATGCATCTTGTTCGGCCATGATGTAAAAACCAGCCGCCCMGAGTTAAAGTCGTGAAATAAACGACCTTATCATCAAAAATAATCCAAAAGCCAGCCATATATAACTTATTTAATGTCTGAGGTTTGCTCTCTCTTAGTTTCATGAATACACATGAATGTTAKGCCATTTATTTTCGAGTTATACTTCAGCATTCATTTACCCGCGCCAGGCTCAGGCTTTGTCAGGAGGCAGCTGGACGGTGGGGGTTGGGAGTATGAATATGTTTTATTATTATTATTTTTACATTCATAACATAACTTTGAATATTTGACCCCCTCCTCAGGTTTGCTCAGAAAGTGTCCCCGACCCCTCAGAGTATAATGCGAGGACAAGGGTGAGTCTTTAATTTATTCCACTCATGACAACAAAGTTAAGGGAGCTTTTAGCCATCCGGCTAATCTCTGGCCTGTTGTCATTACACATCATTTGGCTGTCGGAGGCTTGCCCATCAGTTTTCTGCTGGACTCTGACATTATTACGTTTTTCTTTATTTTATTTTTTTTGCAGGGAAGAGAAGGAACAGAAGTGTGTCGCTCCCCAAGAGAATACAGTGCGATCAAGAAAGAGGAAGGCAAATGTTGCCATTGTAAGGACAGAGCCAAGCAGACCTTCCTGCTGCTCTAAATCACTTTCAGCCCTAGTATGAAGACATTAACTGGTTTCACACACATTTATTACTAAAGCTGAGTAAGGACTTTCTTTGAGAAATCCCTGCGTGCACAGTGGATATTAAAAGGCTTTATCGTGTTAAAAAAAATTAGACCACAATAAATTATTTCAAAACTTTCCAGTTTCATTATGACACACAATCCCATGCCATTCAACTAAAAAAAAGTGAATAAAATATAAGAAATACTAAACTTGCAAATGGCTGATGACTCAGGTGTGCACCATAAAATCATTTGTCTGTATTTTGATTTTAATTCCTGCCTTCAGACATAACAAGTGCTCATAGTTTGTCACAGTGTAGGGCATCTCTTGTGCACAGTGGTCATTGTCATGCTTAAATATATAAAATTTATATCTCTAGAAGAATGTTTATGACCAAAGCACGTGGAACTATTCATAGTTTGAATCGTTCTGACCAAATCCYCAGTTCCAGCTGTACAGAGCTACCCCACAGCATGATGCCGCCACCACCATGTTTGACTTTGGTTTTATCAAACCTTTCCATAAATTCAAATAGCTCATTTTTAATGGTGCTGTAACCCTCCCTAGCCTCCCTGATCATTGTCCATTTTGTCTTTTCATAAATTTTGACATCTGGTTTTCAGTCAGTTATGTTTGTTAGAATCAGCTCTTCTTGGCTGACTTGAATGTTTATTCATTTAAGTGTATGAACATGTGTGCAACCAGAATATTGCACTTTTTTTTCTAACAGATTTTGTTTAGCAGTTGAGTTGTACAGAATATTGTAACAGTAAAGCTTTAGTATTACCTCCAAAATTTACATCACAAAACCCTGACATTTTGACGGGCTGTACACTTCATTTTTTTAATGATTTTGTTAATTTGGTAACTCTTGAAGTCAGATATTGTATGTCTTCTCATAAAGAGACATGAAAGTGCTTGATTCACTGTTCAGCTTCAGGGTGGGGCTGAGTGTAGTTAGCTCCAAGAACATGTTGACTGAATTCACCCATTTTATTGAGTAGCTTGTACCAAACAGCTTCATTTCTTCAGCTTGATTTTATTTTGTTTTGCTAGTTTTGGATTTTAGCAAGCACATTATTTGTTTTAGTTTGCATACTTCCTGTTTTTTTTTCTTTTCTTATGCCACTTTTAGCTAGCCTCCTGCTACTATATAGCTTTTAGCCAGTTTGAACTACTTATCGCTACCATTTTGTACTTTTCAGCAAGCCTTTCCTTACACGTCACTTTTAGCTTGTGTTCTGCTATATTTAGCTTTTAACTAGCCTTTTGCCAAATCAAATTTTTAGGCAGCCAATAGCTACTTTTAGCTTGCATGATGCTTATTTTAGGTAGCCTACATCCTCTTGGTTTGCTTTTTTTATGTCTCTTYTAACTAGCCATTCGATATGTGTAGTCTTTAGCCAGTTATTGCTTCTTTTAGCTAGTTTGGTACTTTAAACTTGTTCTTTTATTTTATTTGTGTCCATTGGGGCTGTACACTTATATTCAGCGAATCTTAGTATTCATTCTGCTTTGAGTTCCATTAATTTTTCACATGCCAACCACTAAACACTGAAACTGCTCCTCCTTTGTGTGTAAATAGATTCACAATCTGTTTTATTTATTATTTTGTTGCCAGTATTTACAAGATGTGGATGAGGAGGTAGCAGAGATGAGGAGGAAGAAGCATCGTGACTGTGAGGTAAATTGGGATATCTTACTGGGCTGTGTTTTAAAACATGCTTCCTCTCCTCACTCAGATTGATGATTTATGAAGCTAACCCAAGTGTCACTCAGACCCAAACTTTTAGTTCAAAAATCCAGAACTAATATTTAGCTCAGATAGTCTCAAACCGATGTGCAAATTGCAAACAGTCAGTCTAGATTCAAGTGCATTGACAGCAACAAATAAATAATTTCACCAACCTTTTGGTTTGAGTCTCTGAACATAAGGGGCTTCAGAGCAAGACATGGTGCCGCATGTGTGTGTGGTGAACCAGGTTAAAAACCATGAAGTTTGCTCCTTTCTAGTTTCCTTACATGAACCTGACTGAAGTGATGAACACCAAAGCAGACATTTCTGCTTAATGGAAATAAAAAGTGTTTGCCTGTGAGAGGTGGTGTTAACTTCAAATAGCGTTGACCTGTCAGTGCGACCTAAGATTGACATTACTAGTTAACCAAATACATAAATGTACCATTAAGAAATGCAAGAAGTCACCTGCAAGTTARTGCACAACCTGAACTTGATCAAATTCAGCAAATTTAAATACTTTATTTATTTAAACACTATTTGATCTTTGGGTTAGTCAGTTTTGTTAAATTTGTTCAATTTAAGTGTGAGAACCTATGTTTTGTGGGAGCGACAGTTGTTACTTTTAACTAAAATACTAAACCTGCTGTGTAGCACAGAGTGTCTCAGCTCTTGGACTTTAGTTGCTAGCCTGAATCTCACTATTTGAGGTGTCAAGTATTGAATGTAACCCCTGATGTTGTTTTATTACTGTGCCTTCATCCTTACCACGGTCATGCTTTGTTTTCTGTAAAGATGACTTGGAGTCCTGAAGATGACCGTGTGAGTCCACACCAGTGGGTCTCCACACCCAGTCAGGACGACTGCCATCAAGTTTCCCTGATGAATGCGGGCCTCCTTCACTACAACATTCACAACATATTTGTTACTCCAGTTCACTGTGCTCCGCTCCCTGCACTGTGGTAAGTCCTGTTGCGAAAGTGGTTGATTTCTCTTAGCTTGGGCCTTTCGGTCCATTGCCTTTTGTTGAGTTGTACAGAGATGTAAGTAGAAGGATGAACATTTAAAATCTAATCCTGCTGAGAACATCAAGTGTGTGTGGTGACACACACTGTATTAATCTTATATGAATAGGTGGCATTCATTCCTCAGATTTTCAAAACTTTGGGAATATGTGACAGAGCACAGCTGGCTGTTGGTAGTCAGACTAGGACAACAAATTGCAACAAATTATTAAGTAACTTGKTATGTGTTTATATCTTTTTTTCAATACTTCCTGTTGTCTTTTTCAGTGGTTGAATTTGCTTTTGTGGTTGCCAAAAGAAGATACCTTAAWTCCACGCGATTCATGTTTTCTCAAGTGTTTTTGCAACAAGTGAAGTTACGAACTGATCTGTCTTTGTCAGCTGGGCCAGTAAGGATGCGGTCTGGAACAACATGCTGGAGAAGGATAAGACTTACAGCAGAGACATCCACATGTTGGAGAAGCATCCTCATCTTCAGCCCAAGATGAGAGCAGTTCTCCTGGACTGGCTCATGGAGGTCGGTAGAACAATTTCAGGTGGAACACACTGGGATTTCATTGTAGGTTTTTATTTTATTTTATTTTTATTTTATTTTTTGAAAATGTAAATGAAGATTTAGCTTAGAACCATAGCTCTCAAGTTGTGACATAAGCGCCACTGGTGATGCTGAAAATACCTTTAGTGGTACAAAGAAGAAACTTTGGTGTCATCTATTTACAAGTTAAGTAACTAATTAATGTACTAACCCCATTCCAATGAAGTTGGGACATTGTCATGTCCTCTGGGCCAAAGAGGAAAAGAACTGTCTGGATTCATATCGGCGCAAAGTTCAAAAGCCTCAAACGTAGTGTGACAGGGCCAGATTTGCACATCTGTGAAGGCACCATTAATGCTGAAAGGTACATCCAGATTTTAGAGCTTCACATGCTGCCATCCAAGCCATGTCT